GGGAAGTGGGTGTAATTTTAGTCCGATTTAAATAATTTTTCACGAATTTCTTTTCCGTCCCAAGGTTTTAAGTGTTTTAAGAGTTTGGTAGAAATTGATAAATCGGTTACCAAGATACACATTTGTGGTCATAAGTGGGCGGCGCCCACTAAGTGGTTATTGCAATCATCGATTTTAAGTGAATTAGCCTTAGTAGTTGGTAATTTATGGCAGATTTCGTGTTTCTGTAAATTACCGTTATATGGCAGGTGGGCTTGGTTACTGCCCGATTTAATATTAGCAACAATAAGAGTGTCTCCTCTACTCAGTACATTTATTTTTTTTTAACAATACAACTATCTCCTCTACTCGCTACATTCATACGTATAATTTTACGAGTTGGGAGACTTTACATTCTCGTATTTACAATTTTTTACGGATATTTTTGAAAAAACTGGAACACAAGTTTAACCTAAGTAGCAACTAAGAAAGCACAATGCAGGTATGCACATATTTTTATTTTATTTTCCAAAGGCGGTGTTGTGCATTTTCTTCCATACAAAGTATTTTTGACGCTTTTTTTTATATGGAAGCAAATAAGCAACACCGTAAAAAAATGCCAAAAATCAACGGTAAGTGCCAGATACTTCAATCTTGCAATTTTTATACAAAAATTTAATGGGCTATAAAACTGAACACTGAAAATCTTTTTAGGAAATCTTATTAAAAGGCTCGAAATTTTTAGGAATGTTTGTTGATTTTTTTTAATATTGCACAAAGTTTGATATACTTATATTTTTACGGTTTTTGCTAAAGAATAAACTATATTTAAAAAAATAACTATAATTAAATATCAAAAAAAAATTGTGTGGTACGCTTACAATTCTGACACGGGGTGTATATAACGGATGGTATTCTACTTTGCATCTTTTTATTTATTTGGGGTATTCACAACGGTGTCGTAAGTGTCGTATTGTTGTGTGTCTTAAACTTTAAACGCATAAAAAATATATTAAGGAGGTTCGCAAAGTACCATCAAAGCCATATTATGCATTTTCGGAGTGTTAAAAAATATTTGGTTGTGGTTGCAAGTTCTCTTAACATTTAAGCTTTTAAAGGCTACGAAATAAAACAATAGGATACTTACGACACCGCTGTGAATCCCTCAATTGTTTCCCTTCGTTTTTAGTTTTCTTGATTGTTTCCGCAAGTTTCCACAATTTAACAAGAAATGTATTTTTAAATAAATCAGTCAGTTTTTACAACTAATGTAAATGGTTATATCAATTTTCCATTTTAATCGAAACGACTGATTAATCGGTAAATTTCTTACGATTAATTGCAATTATTAATCGAATGCTTTGGATTAATCAATTAACCGAATAATCTATTATTAAATTTTGTTTCCATCACTAGTTCTGGTATGCGACTATGTGTTTAAAAAAATACAAATTTGTACACACATTCATGTGATATCATAGCTAAGGTTTGCGCACGATGAAATTATTGTACCCATTTTTACCTCTAAAACTTTTCAAATGCAAAATTTTATTCTTAATTTCCGATCAAGATACTTCTGATAAATGTACAAAAATTTGCATGCAAAGTTTTAAGGCCATATGCCATATGATAAGTTTTGGTTTCGAAATGAGTAAATAAATAAAAGTACGTGCAGAAATTGTTTAATTTTTTAAGGAAATTCCAAATCGGACTTTCGAAACCATCGCTAAAAAGCAAAGGTGTCAAGAAAGACCGTTTCGCGAGTTATTAAAATCTATGGCTAACGTCTAGCTATTAATAGGAAAAAAGGAACTGGCAAATCAAAGGCTTTCAAACCCCCGAATGGAGCCAGGAAGATTGTAGCACTTTTTAAGAAAAATCCAAATATATCGGGAAGAAAAATGACTAAAAAAGTACAACTCAATCAGTCTTTCTAAAGAAAAGTTAAAAAGGAAGAAGGGCTAAGGTCACACAAGGTCCAGAAAGTTATAAATAGAAAATAAAAAAAAACCTCGAACAAAGGAATCAGTCAAAGGACTTCACCGTAATTTCATACATAATTTTGATTGCTGCATTATGGACGATGTACTTGGTGACTTTTCGCAGCGATTTTTATGTCGTAAACCGTAGAGACAATGTCCAAGAAGAGTACAAACCCAAAAAAAAAGACAAAGTTTCTTACGAAATTTTTGGTATGGTAGACAATAAGTAGTTGTGGTATACGTTTGTTACAACTGGGACTATTAAAGCGGAACTACATATGTAGGATTGCCTGAAAAAAACGACTTTTACCATTTAACGACAGCATGAAATCTCCAATTTTTGTTTTGGCTTGATTTGGTTTCATGCCATTACAGCAAATCAGCAATTGAATGGATTGCAAACAAGTAATTCTTAAGCAAAAAACAAAACCGACTTCAATTCTCATCTACAAATTTAAGATTATCGTTAATTTCTTCACGATCCACAATACAATCCAAGATCCAATCCGATCTAAAAAAAATTAGTATGGGACCACCCTTGAGATACCACCTAAACTTTTTCAAAAAAAACCAATTTTTCCAACAAAAAAAAATGTTTTTTTCCAACAAAAAAATAACTGAATACACCATAAAATCCAAATTTTAGGTATTTCGGAAAAAGTAAAATTTTTTATAAAAAACCACTAATTTCTGTTAGTAAAATGTGTTTTGGTTTTTAATTCATCAAGTGCTTTAAAAGTAATTGGTGTTGTTTTGTTCACTAATTTCTTCGTACGCAAACCTTAGTATATTCATTTATGTATGTATATGGTCAAAATGACATATGCGCTTACTAGACAAATTATTTTAAGATTTTTTCACTTATGGAAAATTATCAAAATCATTAATTCTCATATATGTCTACTAGAAAAAGTTGTCTTACGTTTTGGGACGTTTGAGCAGCAACGAAGAAAATAAATAATCACATATGGGTGTTTCCATAAAAATGTAAACCGAAAATGCAAGTAAATGAGTTCAAACGGCTTTATAACTTAAAACTTCGTATTCACGCGAAACGGTGAAAAGATTAACTAAAAAAATAAAATAAAAAACTAGATTATATATGTAATAATATAATAGATTGGCGCTTACACATATGTTAGTGTTTGGCCGAGCTTCTGCTCCGATTTGTGGCGTGCGCCTTGATGTTGTCACACAAAAAGTTTTACGCCGACTCCGAACGGCGATTGTATTTTAATGAGAAGCTGTTTTTCATGGCAGAAATACACTCGGAGGTTTGCCATTGTTGTGCGAATGTCATGCCATCACTCATATATCGAATGAGCAGAATTTTTATTATCTCAAACATGTTTGCTAAAAAATATTATAGCAAAAACTAAAACGTTCATATATGGCTGGGCCAATATTGTAAGGGGGAAAATAAAAGGCATTTGATCGTACTGTAATAGTAATATTATGTAGTCTTAGGTCTAAGCCAATATTAATAGGCCACAAAATATTAATTTAAAACATATCATTAGCCCGCGCAATTGATTCCATGTTTATAAATTTGGAAAATTTAACTTTGGCTGGTAATATCTAAGGAATGCGTTAATTGTTATAAACTAGACGATCTATCAGGTGAAAGTTTATTAAATTTAGTATCTCACGTTCATATATCATTTTTCAATAAGACTACAAGTTTTCGAGATATTTAGAAAAACTTACAATATCGATGACTTTCGCGTATGAGTTTTCAATTCTTCGTTACTTTAGTAACCAAGTGAAAATGAAAAAATTTGACGAGATTTATTTCAAAGATTTTTAGGTTTTCGGATGTTAATATAATCACCCTTATCATGAGTTTCATTTTCCCCGAACCGGTTCACTTTTCACATTTGGTTTCCATGTATTTACTATGAGCGGATGACCAATTTTCGGGTGAATAAGGATAAGGCAGAATATATAAAGGACTATGGAGTTGGTCACGCCAATTTGGTCAGTTTTCAAAATAGTGGTCAATGAAATTAAATATGGATGTACTAGATTAGGAATCATTTGATTAGTAAATAGTAGTTTGAAACACCTACATATGTAAGTACATACATATATTAACTAAATAAAATTTAGGTGAGCAACGCCCAATTTAAGTCCATTTGTGTAATTAAGTCCGTTAACGTAATTGAAAATTGGAGCGAAAGGGTTTCATTAGTCACCAAAGAAGCACATTTTTCGCAGTTTCTAAATTTACCGTTATAAGAAAGTGGGGCGTGCAATAAGTATTTAGATATAAGTAAATATTTTAGTTAATTCCATTATGTCAAAGAGTGACCGTAGGTAAATGAACTATCCTCTTGGGACTCTCCAATTGAATATATAGCTTTGTATTCAACTTGAACGAAACAAGTCAATCCACGGCACACTTTTCCTTAATCGCTTGCTTATATTTCGAAGTTATTTATACAATTTAAGAGAAATTTTTGCTTAACCCTGAATTTTTAACAAGGATCCGTCTTTTTCGGCCAGTGTTCTTTGTGTCACTTGAGGGTCGATGCGCGGGCTCTTGCAATTAAAATAAACGATTAATATTTTACAGGCTTGTGTTGACGACATGATACAATATATTTTCACTATTACGAAAAGATTTGAGAAAAACAATTTTTTTTCTACCCGCCCGCGGGCTCTTGCAATTAAAATAAACGATTAATATTTTACAGGCTTGTGTTGACCACATGATACAATATATTTTCACTATTACGAAAAGATTTGAGAAAAACTATTTTTTTTTCTACCCACCCTAATGTACATACATGACTGAGCAGTGAGTGTTCATTTCGGTACTCTGATATGTACCAACTAAAATTATTCATAGTATGAGGGTGACACACTTGTAGTACGCATCATAGTGTTGATACCACATGGTAAAAAAGAACTAGGCTCAAATAGAAGATCGAAACATTAATTTAGATATTTACTTTTTCACTTATTTATACATTTTTACTTTGCTTAAGATCTCAAGTGAAAGTAATATGCAGTTTAAATTTTGAGCGATGTTTACAGATTCACGCATAAAGATTACAAATAATCCGATTAACCTTGTGAAAAATTCCGTTACATCGTTTGATGGTCATCCACGAAATGCAACTAGGCAGCAACTTAAAATAACCAGGTAATTTTTCCCTAAGTATGTTTATATTCTATTAATTTCCAGCAATTTTATTAATTTACGATGTTTAATTCTTAGGCCGGAGTGCCATGATAGCAACTGCTGCATTAAGACGATCGAATATAGGCCGCCCGTTCCTCCACATCGTAATATAGGCGTAAGAGCTTTCGTAAGTTTTGTAAGTATGCCAAGTACGTTTTGAATTTTTCAAATAGCTATTTTGCCAAAGCACTTTTTGAATAAGTTTATGCAGTTCATCAAAGCAAAAGATAGTTTCTAAATACTTAAAAACTAAAGGTTAGCGCAAACATATTTGCCTTATTACGTTCAATAAGTACTATTTGCATTGTACTCTACTCACAACACATTGTTTCTCTTTTTCCGCATAAATACACTAATTAACCAGGGTGTCCAGATTGTTAAAAAAAAAAACACAATTTCTGTAAAAAAAATTGCCAAAAATTGCCCAATTTTTTTAAGTAAAATTCATGTTATGTCGAACAAATCTTTAAGATCTTCTATATCTACACTGAGGGGAAAAAATATTAAAATCAAATAGAAACGTAATTGATCTTACCATAAACGTCAACGAAAGTACTGTATATCGGTAAATATTCAATTCAATTACGCGCATATTAAAATGACCACGTCTGTACTGAAAAAGCATCCGTGAAGTGAATGATCAAGACAAAAACTAAAAAAAAAATTTTATTTGCATGTTGCTTGCAGTGAAATTCGAACCCGACCATCTCGGGATATCAACAACTTGTGGCAAGCATCTTTACGCACTCAGCTACATCCAGCCATATAAATTTGCCTTCACATGTTGAATATCCATCAACACCACAGCACGCGATTTATACAGTTAAACATGTATGTAGTATGTATGAATGTGTGTGTTGTCACGGCTCTCAGAGCGGCGCTCTGCATGCTTGGGGTGCGTATGTACATTTACATATACATACTGAGATGTGAACTGTCAAATACGTGCATACTAAATTTTGTATGAAAATATTATTTTTAAATACGAACATTTTTAAACGATAATCAAATATAAAGTATTAATTTTTACTATGCATTATTTCCCTCAGTGTATAATACGCGAAGTCATTTTTTGTGCAGCATAAAAGATCTGCACCGTTCGCTCAATTTTCAAAAATGGGGTGCCAAATTAAAGCGCTTGGCCTGTAGATGTGCAACAAGGTTTCACTTTTTTGACAAAAGTTGCCACCTTTTAAAAAATTATATTCAAATTATCAAAAAAAAAACAAATATTACAAAATGAGTATCAATGGAAATGGCTTTGAACATCTTTCTTTCTTAGCTTGACTATAAGAGGTTTGCCACCTATTTAAAAAATCAAATTCAATTTGAATTAAGGAAATTAATTAGGAAAAAATATTTTAAAGTTGGTTGCCACCTGCTTTAAGTGTCGAATTTAGTTAACTTTTCCAAAAGTTATATGAAATGTCAAAATATGGAAGTCAAACGAAAGAGTGTTAAGAAGCCTTTAGTTTAAACATTAAGAATATTTTTGAGGTGTTGGAAGGGGGTTGCCACCTGTCTAAAAATTTATTTCAAATTATTAAAAACATCAAGTGAATTATTGAAATATGGGTATCAGTCGAATGGGTTTGAAAAATCTTTATTTCTGAACTATATTTAGCAGGGTTGCCACAGGTTTAAAAAATAAAATTCAACTTAATTCATCAGTTAATTAAAATATGTATCGCAATGTAAGAGGAATAATATTTTAGCGCGAAACTACTTTGTTCAAATATTAAAATTATTTAAAAAGTCAAATGAATTATTAAAATATGTGTGTCAGTCGTAATGGGGTTGAAAGGATTTTATTTCTGAAATATATTTAGGTAGGTTGGCACGTATTTTATAAGCTGCATTCAAATTATTTAATAAGTTAAATGAATTTTTAAAGGATTGATATCAATCGAAATGGGTTTGAAAAAGCTTTCAGGCTTCCGAGTGAATTTAAACAAAATTCGCTTCAAACTCAAATTGAACTTTGTAGAAGTTTACTCAAAAATTTGTAAATTGTATAACCTGAAAAATAAAGACCATGCCCTGTAGATGTACGATAAAGTTTTATTTTTTGAAGTTAGAAACTTTTTATCGGTACAGAGTGATTTAAAATTAAATTAATTTAAATAATATTGAAAACCTACTGTGCGAAACGCCTTAATTAGATTAAAGGTTTTTGAAATTCTATCTTGGGCGTTTTAACGCCATGCGGGTTCACTAGTAGTTTTTATAACAAAAAACTAATATTATACCTTCGGGGTAATAATAAATAGCACAAATCACTTATATAATAGTGATGTACAAACAATTTTCTTTAAAAATACGCGTATTTCAAAAAAATATTTCCAATAGAACTGCGTAATTAATAAATTTATTATAACTCATATTAATTGATTAATCTCATAAACCGTTTTTAAGCGCTCGGCGCTAAAAATAAGCTGTAATAAGGCGAAATCAGCTATTTCTACAAATGAAATTGTAAGTTTCGCATTCAGCGGGAGTTGTCACAAATTTCGGTTTAATATTGGCAAATGTTCGATGTGCTACACTAAAATCGATAACAATAAAAAGTGTAGCCACATCAAAACTAAAGCTCTAACTCCACAACCTACTTTTCGCGTGTTCCGACGCATTTACATGGTAGCGCACAAAAAATTTATCTGAAGGGAAAAAATTGCCTAAGGCGATTTCCTAAATTTTTACGCGCAAATATGCAAAAAAAGATGCCCAAATTGGCGCTGAGTCGTCCAATCTGGATACTGCTAAGTACTACGCGTTGAGAAAGCAGAAACTTTCGCAACTTGCTATCAGGGCTGCCAACTATACTTAGCTATGAAGTGCTATATTGAGGCCAAAAAAGTGCCAAAATGTGCTGAATAGAAAAATAAAAGTGCCAAAAAAGGTGGCATTCTTTTTAATTCTTCCCATTTAGCATTGAAATTAGAAACACATTCCTAAAACAAAAGTCCAATGCCAAAGTAAGAAAACCAGTTGTATGCACTAAAGAAATGAGAAAATTTTAGTTGATAAACAGAAGTACACGCAAAGGATTTTACAAAAATGTATTGAAATATTACTCTTTTTCAAAAGTGCCGTTTAGAGTAAATAGGGCCAAAAATGGCACGGTTTGAGCCAAGTTGGCAGCCCTGCTTGCTATTACTCCATCAAAGTAAGTATGTACCAGTGATGGGCACACCTAAATACTTTTGTACTTAAAGTACCACTTTGGGTACTAAATACTCAAATACTTAGTATTTTGAGATCACTAAATACCCAAGTACTATTTACTTAGGTATTTAGGAGCTGCTAAATACCCAAGTAC